AAAAGTGTATTTAAAGAGCTGAAAAGTCATTAACTTAATTTTAATTTTGGTTTGGGGTTTTTTTTTGTGCTCTGGGACGCCCCTGCCATGGTCATGCAGCCCCAAATGCAGACGAGATGCCAGGAGGGGGACTGATATTTCCATCTTCTCAAGGCACATTTTTGGATTCTGCCTGCAGATCTGGACCCCTGCCTGAGCATCTGATGCTGTGGGGTCCTTCCCAGGAGCGTGAAGGAAGGAAAATAACCTGTGGCTGTAAGAACTTGGGATGTTTCACTGTGATTGCAGCAGGGTGTACAACCCATGGGCCTGAACCCCTGGTCCCCAGGCTTGGGAGGATGGGCCTGGACCCCTATTTATCACTGCATTCCCAGTTAAAACAGACTGGGGAGAAATCAAGCTGACTGACCTGGGTCCCTGGGCTGTGCCAGCATCCCATCCTCCTGGGAAATGTTTTTTTCAGAGAGTGCCCCATCAGCTGAGCAGAGAGGAGGGTGCCGTGGTGATGGGAACATCCCTTATCTCACTGAGCCATGGGAAAGGAAAGCACCCCGGTAGGTCGCAGAGACAGGTGCTGTCAAAGGTGATTCATCCCACCCTTGGGAGGTCCAGCGTGGGTGGGGTGAATCACCCTCCCTCCAGAGCCAGGACAGCTCCAGAGGAAGGCTGGAAATCACGTTGTAGGTTAGGACACCCAAAATTAAAGTGTCAACATGTAGGTGTCTCAATATGCACAGGGTACTTGTTACTTCACTTCCAAATGGGTGAATGACACGGGATTAGTCCCACCATTCCCACCTGCCACCTATTTTCCAGGCTTTTGCACCTCCTTCAAAAAATAACAAGGACATTCTGCAACTCCTGAGTGGCCACATGAATTGCAGGGCTCACGTTTGTGCCAGCTGTGCTCACAGAATCATAGAATCATTAAAGGGTTTGGGTTGGAAGGGACCTTTAAAGGTCATGTAGCTCAATTCCCTGCCATGGGCAGGGACACCCTCCGCTAAACCTGATTGCTCCAAGACCCATCTAACCTTGCCCTTGATATTTCCAGTGATGGGGCAGTCACCAACTCTCTGGGCAACTTGTTCCAGTGTTCTGCCACCCTCACCGTGAAAAATTTCTACCTGGTCTGAATCTCCCCTCTTTCAGTTTAAAACCAGCTCCCCTTGTTCTATTGCAACAGTCCTGTTAAAAAAGTTTGTCCCCATCTTTCTCCTAAACCCCCTTCAGGCCCTGCAAGGGGCTCTCAGGTCTCCCTGGAGCCTTCTCTTCTCCAGGTGAACCCCCCCAGCTCTCCCAGCCTGGCTCCAGAGCAGAGGGGCTCCAGCCCTGGCAGCATCTCCGTGGCCTCCTCTGGACTCTCTCCAGCAGCTCCACATCCCTGTGCTGTTGTTGCCAGGGCTGGAGGCAGCTCTGCAGGGGGGTCTCACCTGAGGGGGAAGAGGGGGAGAATCCCCCCCTCTCCTGGGGAGATCCCACACAGTGGGATCAGCCCAGTGCTCACCAGTCCCTGCTGCAGCCAGGCCTTTGGAGCCTGGTGAGATGAATAAGAAGCCACCACACCCTGAGCTGGGACAGAGCCCTGAGACCCTCCATCCCAAGGCTGCTGTTCATCACACCCATCCTGGTTGTGAAAAGGGAGCAGAGCCTTGGGAAGGCACCTCCACTCTTAGCTGGGCTCCCACGTGGATACCTGTGGCCTGGACTCACCACACAACATCAAAACGGGAAGAAATAGGGTTTTTCTCTCAACCTCCCTCTCCTCACCCACAACACGACCACTGCCAGCACTCAGGTCCCTCCAACCCTACTCAACCCAGCGCCAACGCGGGAAAATCAACCTTAACTCTGCAATCATCACCAGCACCGCAACGCCCACGGCCCCTCGGGGTGGAGCCAGTACCAGCTCGGTGCTTCATTCAGAAGTGATTATTTAGGCCTTCCAAAAGGTGCCTTTGGAAAGCGCAGATCTGTGTGCCGGGCAAACATCCGAAAAGCTGAGGCCGTGCGGCTCAGCAACCGCAGAGCGGCTTTGCCTTCTCACCACGGCCACAGGCAAGAGGATCAAGTCCTGATAATAATTTAAAAGCATCAATTGATACAAATTAATAAATACATAAAAGGATCTAGTCTCTCTCTTTTTTTTTTTTCCCCATCCACTTTTTTAGCATCGATCAAAGTTAAGGGTGATTGTCCCGTGAGTAACTAAGGCAAATGTGTTTGTGTGTGTGTGTGTGTGTGTGTGTGTGTGTGTACGTATGTGTATGTCTCTCTCTACTTTTTTGTTTTGATCTT